AACAATGACAAAGCAGGAAGCTCAATGGGTCCCTGAGTTGCTTCGGGCCCCCACTCCTCCTCGAAGCCCCCGGGCTGTTTAACAAAGTCCTGGGTCCGCCTATCCCAAGCACTTTTTGTGATGTCACAGCTCCGAGGACAATCGGAGGCTTCACTCTCACGGAAGCCCAAAAGTTGGGGTCTGACCTCATGACCTTAGCCTTTCCCGGGGGGGGGGGCCTTGAGACAGGATGCGCTGTTCCCCGGAGTTCGGAGCTCCGGCCAATGGGCAGCAGACCTGGCCCCCAAGACTCCCTCACGCCGCTCCACAACCAAAGCGGAGCCCTACACGAAGCTGGGTGAAGCTGTAGCTTGCAGGAGCCGGGGAATTGCGCTCTGCCCGGGACTTCCCGGGTCCTGCTGAGACAGGAAAGGATTGCGGGGAAGACAAGATAATGGGTCTTTAACTCTGACCGTTACCTTCGAAATTGTATCTTACAAACATGCCCTCTTTTTCAGTGGTTTTATGGGGACATTTTCTCTGATTAAGATCCCGAATAATCACCCACCCAATGGGGTATCTTGCAGGGAAGCGCTGGTTAGAATCCCTCCAGGCTGAGATGATATCACCGCTATGGAGCCTGCCATCCCCTAGGGAAACCCCACAAAACCATCCTACCTGGGACTGAATATCCCTAAAGTGAAAGGTGATCGAGGGGGAGGAGCAGGTGCTGGTGCGGAGGAAGCTCCTGGGGCTGAAGTGGCCCCCACCGCCGAGTGTGTCGCAAAGGAGGCACCGCTGCGTGGAGCGCTTATTCTACCTTTATTTTTAAATCACCAAGGCAAAATCACCTTCAGCTAAAACTGCCTAAAAGACTTTTTAAAAGAGTGGGGGTGGGCGTTAGGGGGAAGATCTGGCCTAGGAAATTTTCTGCAGGGCATTCTAGGGGTGAGTTGAGGGAATCCGCAGGACGGGCGGCTCCCGGGTGCCACCGCTAAGGATAGATATTTTCGGAAAACCCAGAACGAAAAAGAGCACACTCCCTTTGGGACTGGGGCCTTCCACTCCCACCTCTCCTTTTTCTCTGCTGGCTCCGCAGCTCCACAATGAGCCAGCTCATCCGGTCTCTGGCTTGGGTTCGGTCCGTACCCCTGGGGCGCCCTGCTGTGTTATACCCGCCAGACCCCAGACCCGGCCAGGTCACCAGGACAGATTGGAGGTTCACGCCCCCTCACCCGACACCTCCCGTCCACCTCATCTTTCCTTTTCTTCTTCTTCTTCTTTTTTTTTTCGAAAACAGAAAAGGGAAGAAAACTGAAACACCCCTCTTGGTCTGCAGTTTTAGCCGGGTCGAGGTTCCACAGCCCTGGGTGGCCCATGTCGAACAGCTTCCCAAAGTAGGACTCCCGCGTGGGGAGAAATACACTCGCAGGAATGTACATTCATCGCGTGTTCTGAACTGTAGCTGGGAGGTCTGGCGGCTGCGATGGGACAGGCACTCACTCGGACAACACGTCCAGAAGCCACATCTATTCGGTCAGTCGACAGATATTTATTGCGCACCTACGACGTTATTTGGTCCTTTCTATTTTCCTTTAGCTGTTGCTGTCCAGCCCAGTGCCAGTCCTGAGACGGGCTTACCCACTGCTCCCTTCCAAAAGAAACTCGTGTCCGGCGTGAAGAGCGAACGATAAACACTCTCCAAGCCCCCCAAAAAGTACTAATTACAGGAGTGGCTGGGGAGCCCGGGACATAGGGACCTGTCCCTCCAGGGATTGGAGTCTTTTGCCTGCAAGGGACCTGGTTCAAGGAACTGGAATGGAGAAGGGGCATCCCCTTCTCCCATCACCTCTAATGAAAACATTGCCCGGGGCTGAGATCCTTCGGGGACGCCGCCGCTCACCCCACCAAATTTTCCTAAGGACAGAGAGGCGTCCCTACTGAAAACGGATTCAAACACCATCCCTACTTTTGCTAAGGAAGTTTGGATAGGGAGGTTGTGGTCCTTAATTCCTCAGATGAAAGGAAGCCCATCCGCTTGCATCCCACACCCCCATCCTGAGCACTGCGTGTTTGCACGAAACTCGCTCAGGGCCAGCAACTCTAGGCTTGGGTCTCAGCTCCCGCGTAGACGCGGAGGAGAGATTGGCGGCCCCCGCTGGGGAAATTGAGCCCGGCGCCGGCCTGGGACGTGCAAGAGGGGGAAGGCGGAGTTCCCAGACCTCGGTTTCCCGAGGGCTTCCCTGGGGAACCACTCGCACCTCCGTGTCTCCGCTCCCGGCGGCAGACCTCGCGGCGCTTGCTCCAGAGCGTGTATCCGTGTATCCGAAAGCACGTCCCGAACATGGAGACGCACCCTCCGTCTCCTGCCTCTTGACCTGCGCCCTTCCCCTCCCTCACCACCTCAGTTGGAGGACCCTGGCTCGTTTGGCTCCTGGCAAAACGCTCTGGCTGACACTGGGTCAACAGCCTCAGTTTCCAGATCTGTAACATGAACATCAGGAGCGGGGTTCCTTTCCCTCTACCTGTGTCTGAGGTCCTCTGGTCAGGGACTGCGCACGTCTTCCCGGGTCAGGGAGGAGGGATCGGGGCGACCTGAGAAAGGCACCACGAAGCGAATGGACCCCCTGAATGGGGAAAGGGGAGTGGACACCAGGAGGCCCCTGCAGAAATTTCAGGACCGATCCACTCGCGCAAGCTGACGGCGCCACTCACTAGACTTGGCCTGACTGTAGCAACGCTTGGCACCTGGGAGACAGGGGCCTTCTCCTGGCCTCAGTCCCCAAATTCTGGCGCAGCATACAAACGTCTGGCATCTGGAAAGCTCTCTTTTAACCCGGTTCTCTATAGACATAAGTTCCCTGACTGAGCTGCGCAGAGGTGGATCCACACAGGAGGGAATATCGCGTAGGAATTCCTGCAAATATAAATCTCAGCAGCGAAGCAGTCCAGATTGAGTGGAACACACCACCCCCAGCCACCACCATGCAAATTCTCCCGGCTTCCCGGAGTCGGAGACAGTTTCTGGGCTTTTGGCGCCCTCTCTGGATACAGATGAAAACTGCAGACTATTTTTAAGTCGCCTGTTGATCATGTTTTCAAGAAGATAGAAAATTCAAAAATGCTTGCCTCAGACCAACGGGAAATGTATAAAGCACCGTCGTTTATGATGTGAAAGTCTATATATTAGTATCTTATTGCATAATTGCATTAAAAATATATTTATGCATATACATATATATCTTGGCAAATATTTAGCGAAATATTCCAAAATATCATAAAGTCACAGCCCTCTCCACTGACTTTATGCCAGCAAACTTGGTAAATACAATAAAACACAGCTAAGTACAGACGACCTGGCTAAAATGTCTGCCCGATGGTCTCTGGGTCTCCTGAATCAGGTGCCTGAAAATTACACAGTTAATATTGTACACACAATGCCTTTCTACCTAGGACACAGAAATGGGTCCACACGACGCAGACTTTTTTCTCCTAGGAAAGGACTATGCTTTTCTTACACTTTCTGAAACTAATCACAGAGCTATGGATACGAAGCTAGCTATTGTATGCAGATCTCTTAAATTTGTAAACGAGCTATAGGGCACCCGAAACATCCCATTTGAAGAAGTTAACTTCGTTTAAAAAAAAAAAAAAGATACTGTTGAACAAGGCTGTAACTTACTACCTTATGAAGAGTTCCATTTCCTATAAGAAGGGTCGGGCTTCTTCCGAAGAAAATGAGAGAAAACAAGATTTTAAAAAATTCTTCCAGAAGGACATTGATTTGGGTCTTGTGATAATGTTCTCACTTTGCACATTAAAAAGGAAAATAAAAAGTTTTTAATATGATGTGGGCCAATTCACCATAAAAATAATTTAATTAGAGGCAAATTTTTGCAAGAGCCCAAAAAGGGGAGGGGGAGTTTAAAATTAAGAGTTTTCCAATGTTGTGCGTTTATTTGAGATTATGAAAGCACGGAACTCGCAAGCGACCAAGATTTTTCTTCTGTCTCAGAGCAGATAGCTCCGCACTTACCCAACCTGGCAATAAGCATTTCGTGTAAACACAAAGGTCGTGCTCAAATCACACTTGATGTACATCAGAGTCACTACCAATGCCTCCCCCAGAACTCCCAACTGTATGCAGGTCTAAACCGCCCGGACTAGAGTCAGAAGCGCAGGCACTTCACCCCTTCAGGTGTTTAGTAAATGCCAGCAAAAGCAGGCAAGCACCACGACTCCGCCAAAGTGGAGCGTTTTGTCTGCAGTGGTGCCCATCTGTTTGGCCTTTTACAAAACAAGTGACTGGCCCGGGCCTCGCGGCTCGGGACGGCCGCACTGGCAAACTTCGATCTCTCAAAGCCAGAGCAGGCACCACACTCTCCCCAGACAGGGGGGACTCGGCTGACGTTTTTGACCCGGCCAGGAAGCAAAGACCAAAACGTCAGCGCAGTAACCCCGTTACTGAGGAGCGTCGGCGGGGTCGGGGGTAGAGGGGGCCGGAGGAGGACTTGTCAGAGTTCAAGGTCGGTGTGGCGCGGGGCGGCCCCGAGAGCGCGGGGCTCCTGCGGCGTCGCCAAGGCCGCCGCTGCCAGCCCTCTCGGGGACTTAGCGTTGCTTTCCATTGACTCCCTTTGCAAAAGCTCAGCCGAATCCTGACCAGCCGCACCAGCGCCGGCGAACCTGAGCATGTTAATCTATTTATATGGATTATTTCGGAGGAACAGCGGGCGTTGAGTCACCAAAACATTTGCTTCAAAAGACTATTTCTAAGCACTTTTGCAGGCAGGCAGGCTCCAGGCGCGCAAACTCGGCTACGCATTAAGGATCGGCTGCCTTTCGAACACTGCAAACTCCAGCTAAGTCCCTGGTGCCGCGGAGAGAGCGGTGAAAAGAAATGTCGGAGGTGGGGGTAGATCCCAGTCTAGACACACACACTTGCACACACACACACACACACACAAAGATTCGCGCAGAGAAGGCACTAAAATTCTGGCATTCCGAGAGTACGACAAACTTACACACTTGAAGTCCCGGGTCCCCCGCTTTCCCCGCAGCACCCCCGCCCCCACTACCCCACCGTCCACCCTTTGGCGGCGCTCCCCTCCCCTCTCCTCCCCTCCCGTCTCGTCACCCAGCCCAGTGCCACAATCCTCCTCCCTCCCCCAAAATCGGGTCCAATCAGCTGCCTGCCAACCCTGGGACTGCTGTGCTGTGATTGGCCGAAGTCTCTAAGGTGAGGCGGGTATTTATTGAGGAGACCCTGGGCTGGGAGTTGGAGAGCAGAGAGCGGAGCTCGAAACCGACTGGAAACTTTAGTGGCGCGGAGACTCGCCAGTTTCAACCCCGGAAACTTTTCTTTGCAGGAGGAAAAGAAAAGGGGTGCAAGCGCCCCCACTTTTGCTCTTTTTCCTCCCCTCCTCCTCTCCAATTCGCCTTCCCCCACTTGGAGCGGGCAGCTGCGGACTGGCCACCCCACGCCCTCCTAAGTGCCCACCGCTGCAGCCGGCCGACGCGCCAGCCTCCCTGGGAGCCGCTCGCTCAGCGTCCGGGCAGCCGAGGGGAGAGGAGCCCGCGCCTCGAGTCCCCGAGCCGCCGCGGCTTCTCGCCTTTCCCGGCCACCCGTCCCCTGCCCCGGGCCCGCGTATGAATCTCCTGGACCCCTTCATGAAGATGACCGACGAGCAGGAGAAGGGCCTGTCCGGCGCCCCCAGCCCCACCATGTCCGAGGACTCCGCGGGCTCGCCCTGCCCATCGGGCTCCGGCTCCGACACCGAGAACACGCGGCCCCAGGAGAACACGTTCCCCAAGGGCGAGCCCGACCTGAAGAAGGAGAGTGAGGAGGACAAGTTCCCCGTGTGCATCCGCGAGGCGGTCAGCCAGGTGCTCAAGGGCTACGACTGGACGCTGGTGCCCATGCCGGTGCGCGTCAATGGCTCCAGCAAGAACAAGCCGCACGTCAAGCGGCCCATGAACGCCTTCATGGTGTGGGCACAGGCGGCGCGCAGGAAGCTCGCGGACCAGTACCCGCACTTGCACAACGCCGAGCTCAGCAAGACGCTGGGCAAACTCTGGAGGTAGGGGCGCCCGGTGGGGGCAGCGCGGCAGGGTGGGCAGGGTGGGCATCGCAGCGGCGGGAGGGGGGGCGCTGGCCAGGGCTGGCTTTCCCCGCCCCACCTCCTGGCGCCTGGGAGTTGCCGTTCCGGGAGCCGATGGGATCGGGGTGGGAGTAGGAACGGGGTGTAACTGGGGCTCAGAGTTTGACAAAGTTCTGGCTCTGCTTGCGGGGACGAGGAGGAGGGGGTGGTAAGTGGAAGGGGAGGAGGAGGTAGCCGGAGGATGGGCGAAGGCTGGTGGGAGACGGAAGGAGGGGCTGCCAGCCTGCTCTATGGTCGCCTGGAAGCTCAGTCGGGGCGGGGGGAGGGAGTGAAGTTTGCCTCCCCCCACCCCGCCCCTTAAAACTGCACTCTGTCTTGCAGCCCCCGACACCCATGGAGGGGGGACAGGGGAGAAACTGAGGTTGGAGGAGACCCTTGGCAGGAATTGGGAGGGGGAGGAGGGAGGCTGCTGGAAATAGGTGGGAGTATGGGGGGGGGTGAGAATTGGGGAGTTAATTGCAGCTTAAGTAATTTGGGGGAAAGTTTTTAGAGGGTGTTGGAGTTGGGGGCGATAACTCCAGCAGCAAAGGCGTTTAGTGGGCAGCAGCAGGAGTTGTTTTCACCTCCAGCGTTTCCAAAATAGAAATAGAAGGGAAGGGGTGGGAGGGGGCGGGGAGTGACCGCTCAGGTCGGACTGCAAGAACTGATTTTTTTTTTTTTTTTTAAGAAAAGTTACGAGCTGTGGTTGGAGGGAGGAGGGAAGATGGGGTTGTGTGCAAAGGAAGCACAGTGGTCCCTATCGCCGCCTCCTCCCCACCGACCTGACAGTTCGGCGGGTTTCACTGACCCCCCTCCCTGGTTTTCTCTGTGCCCCCCGCCCCGCCCCGCCCCGCGCAGACTTCTGAACGAGAGCGAGAAGCGGCCTTTCGTGGAGGAGGCGGAGCGGCTGCGCGTGCAGCACAAGAAGGACCACCCGGATTACAAGTACCAGCCCCGGCGGAGGAAGTCGGTGAAGAACGGGCAGGCGGAGGCCGAGGAGGCCACGGAGCAGACGCACATCTCCCCCAACGCCATCTTCAAGGCGCTGCAGGCCGACTCGCCGCACTCCTCCTCTGGCATGAGCGAGGTGCACTCCCCCGGCGAGCACTCGGGTGAGTCGCCCCTCGGCCCCGCGTGACACGCCACCCCCTGCCCTCCGCCTGGGAGATTCTTCGTGGAGACTTCACGATTCTCGGGAGGGACACGCCACCCTTTGCGCCTGTCCCACTCCCCTCTCCATCCAGGGCCTAAGAGGCACCCAGACACACGCGCGCGCGCACACACACACACACACACACCCCTCAATCCCCGCATCCGAAGAGATTAGTGTTTGGGGATTTTTTTATTGGGAGGTAAAATGCCCTTACAGCCCTACAAGACCTCCCCCTTTCTTCCCTTTGCACCCCACCCCAAAAGCACACACAGGGCTCTTCTAAAAGTGCAATTTTGGCCTCCCGCCCCCCCGGGCCCCAGCCCCCCCCCCCCCCCCCCCGATAAAAGGGGACTGTCCAGTGTGTACTGGCAGGTTAATCATTGGGCGACTTATCTCCGGTGCAGCGCGCCTCCCGCGCGGGTGCAGGCCCTTATTGCCCTGTCGCAGCGAGGGAGGGTCCCCGGAGGGTGCCTGAGACCAGGGCGTCTGCACAGCCCGTGTTGACTTTCCCGTGCTTGTTCTTTTATCGTCCTCAGGGCAATCCCAGGGCCCGCCGACGCCACCCACCACCCCCAAAACCGACGTGCAGCCGGGCAAGGCTGACCTGAAGCGAGAGGGGCGCCCCCTGCCAGAGGGGGGCAGACAGCCCCCCATCGACTTCCGCGACGTGGACATCGGCGAGCTGAGCAGCGACGTCATCTCCAACATCGAGACCTTCGACGTCAACGAGTTTGACCAGTACCTGCCGCCCAATGGCCACCCGGGGGTGCCGGCCACGCACGGCCAGGTCAGCTACACGGGCAGCTACGGCATCAGCAGCACCGCGGCCACCCCGGCGGGCGCGGGCCACGTGTGGATGTCCAAGCAGCAGGCGCCGCCGCCGCCGCCCCCGCAGCAGCCCCCGCAGGCCCCGCCGGCCCCGCAGGCGCCCCCACAGCCGCAGGCTGCGCCCCCGCAGCAGCCGGCCGCGCCCCCGCAGCAGCCGCAGGCGCACACGCTGACCACGCTGAGCAGCGAGCCGGGCCAGTCCCAGCGAACGCACATCAAGACGGAGCAGCTGAGCCCCAGCCACTACAGCGAGCAGCAGCACTCGCCCCAGCAGATCGCCTACAGCCCCTTCAGCCTGCCGCACTACAGCCCCTCCTACCCGCCCATCACCCGCTCGCAGTACGACTACAGCGACCACCAGAACTCCAGCTCCTACTACAGCCACGCGGCGGGCCAGGGCACCGGCCTCTACTCCACCTTCACCTACATGAACCCCGCCCAGCGCCCCATGTACACCCCCATCGCCGACACCTCCGGGGTCCCTTCCATCCCGCAGACCCACAGCCCCCAGCACTGGGAACAACCCGTCTACACACAGCTCACCCGACCTTGAGGAGACCTCCCACGAAGGGCGAAGGTGGCCGAGATGATCCTAAACAAAACCGAAGAAAGAGGACCAGCCAGAATTCCCTTTGGACACTTGTTGTTTTTTGTTTTTGTTTTTTGTTTGTTTTTTTGTTTTTCTTCTTCTTCTTCCTTAAAGACATGTAAGCTAAAGGCAACTCGTACCCAGATTTCCGAGACAGAAACGTGACCTATCCAAGCGCATTACCCACTTGTGGCAAATCCATGGCCAGGCCAAACCTTGGCTAAATGGACCAGCGAAATCGACGAGAAACTGGACTTTGGAAACCCTCTTGAGAGCAAGCGTGGAGGATGATGGAGAATCGTTGCGATCGGTGTGCCCAATCTCTCTGCCTTCTTGGACTTTGTAATTATTTTTTAGCAGTAATTAAAGAAAGAAGTCCTCTGTGAGGAATATTCTCTATTTTAAATATTTTTAGTATGTACTGTGTATGATTCATTACCATTTTGAGGGGATTTATACATATTTTTAGATAAAATTAAATGCTCTTATTTTTCCAACAGCTAAACTACTCTTAGTTGAAAAGTGTGCCCTAGCTTTTCTTGCAAACAGAGTATTTTTGTACAGATTTGTTTTCTCTTACAAAAAAAAAAAAAAGCCTGTTGTATTAACATTTTTAAAACATTGTGTTAATGATCAGTTTTGGGGGTTAGCTTTGCTTAATTCTTCAGGCTTTCGGATTCAAGGAGGAGCTGCCTTAAAAAGAAAAATAAAGGCCTTATTTTGCAATTATGGGAGTAAACAATAGTCTAGAGAAGCATTTGGTAAGCTTTATCGTATATATATTTTTTACACAAGAGAAAAACACCTTGAGCCTTAAATCCATGCTGCTGGGAAATACCTGCGCTCTCTTTTAGTGCATTCTCCTGCCGTTGCTTCTTCACTGCAGTCTTAAGAAAGAGGTAAAAGGCAAGCAAAGGAGACGAAATCTGTTCTGGGAATGTTTCAGCAGCCAATAATTGCCCGAGCCACTGTCCCCTGGTTGCCTGCCTGGGCCCCATGTGGAAGGCAGATGCCTGCTCTCGCCCTGTCACCTGTGCCTCTCTGAACACCAGCAGTTAACCTTCAAGACATTCCACCTGCTAAAATTATTTATTTTGTAAGGAGAGGTTTTAATTAAAAAAAAAAAAAAAAAAAAAAAATTTCCTTTTTTTTTTTTTTTAATTTTACCTTCTTTAAAATAGGTTGTTGGAACCTTCCTCAAAGGGTATGGTCATCTGTTGTTAAATTATGTTCTTAACTGTAACCAGTTTTTTTTTATTTATCTCTTTAATCTTTTTTTTTATTATTAAAAGCAAGTTTCTTTGGATTCCTCATCCTAGATTTGTATAAATGCCTTTCTGTCGGTACCTTTTTTTTCTTT